TTATTACTCGGACTTCAGCCTGGAAGCTAGTGTTGTGATTAGGTACACATTAGTATATTTCTGTTTCTGGGTCTTCAATATAGAACCCGTATTGTCCTCCACTGTACAGCCATCCGTATTTGCTCTAATGTTCCGCATGTCCATAACATATCTATGCGATTAACAATTTTTGTCATTCTTTTGAAAATACAGTTCTCAGTCTTCACCGGGTTTACATTCAGGCTTCTCGGTTGAGCCTAGCTTAAGGCCGTATTTAGAGACCCTTCAGTCCTTCCACACAAGTAATTTAGATTCATCCTTACGACATTGTCTGTATAGCAGACAGGTTTAAATCCTTATACAGAGTAAGGACTTGAACCTCCATATCCTCCAGTCTTCTGCCCATGTCCATAAAATAAGACAATTTTTAAAATTAAGAAGTATTATTTTCAAATAACTTAATTTGTTAATCATATGTATTTACACTTACAAACTAAAACGATCTGGTCGAACTATGTTCGGAAATTATAATTATTAAGAAACCTGAGAAATAATTCGTTTTGGTCATAAATAAATGTTCAAATCGAATGTACATATTTATATTGTAGAAATGGTAATAAGATAAAAAACAAATGAAAGTTTCAAAAAAAAAAAAAAACGCGTTTCTACACTTTTTTATGTCATTCATGTATGAAATACTGAAAATGTGTCAATTTATTGACAAAGAAGATGTGAAGAAATCATAAAAAGTTTAACGAACAAATGTTTTCCCCAGCTCTTGTGACGATCCCAACAAAACAGTAGCAAGGTGGGTTGCACCTCCAGCAATATGAGATAAAATACAAAAAAGTGCAACGGAAGTTATAAAATATAATGCATAAAATAATGAAAACACGTCAAGACCCTGGGCCGAAGAGAGCTAAGAAAATTACAGATAAAGACAAAAAGTAAGTAACAACAATACCACCAAGATTGACACAATGATAGACGTACCAACATTGGTAGCGTCGCAGCAGCAATAAAAAAAACTACCAACAGCAGAAGCAACAGTGGTAGAAAAGATAATAAAGGAAAAACCGAAATGTGTAAAAACAGAAGTCAAAGAATTAACAAACGAAATTGCATGGAGAAACAAATCGCAAAAGGTAAAATCGGAATAGCTCGACTAAATGTGCGCTACACATTCGATAGATATATACATATGTATGTATCTACAAACTTATTATAGCAGTTCTTCGCAAATTGTTTACAAGGGAAATTACATTTTTCAGAATCGCTGGCAATTCAGAGACCAATGCCTTCTAAAGTTTTTGTACTAAATCTGCAATTTCGTAGATTTCGTAAAGTAAAACTAATATGTTTCCTTGTGAATTTCTCTTAAGAGTCTAAAGAGGGTTTTTTCTGTGGATATTCTTGTAGATTTAGCGATTAATTTAACTGCATTAATTAACATATCTTTGTCGTAGTAATGTCCGAGTTGGTATAGGAATTTTTAACCACCTAAACACGTCCAATCAATTTTGAAATATAGGGCCGAAACTAGCTATTGATAATATCATTATTTGAGACAAAAATGGGCGTTATGGGTGGCAGGCCCACCCCACTTTCAAATTATTAGGTTAAGTTAGGTTAATAGGAGGATGTATACTACATCAAATCCGAAGAAATACACTTAGGCCACTATCGGGTCTGTTATGCACTCCAATTCATGAAAAAAAAAATTGTTCACTGAATGTATTATTTCTCCATGTTCAGAAACTCAGTTTCCTGGACGTAATTCTTAAGAATCTTCCAATCAGTGTTGGTTAAGAATGTTATTTCCGGAATAACAGCGCTTCCAAGATACTTGGATACTTTAAATTATTAAAATTTGCTAAAATGCAAGTGCTCTTATTTGAATCATCACGCAGTGGTTTAGAAAATTTTATTTTTGGGAATAACTCCATATTTCTGGGAATTATTGGAGATATCGTATCAACAAAAAAAAAATGGGCCATCTTTACATGTTGCAACTTTGGATGCGTTGTAGATTTTATCAAAAACCCAGAAAATATTATTAAATAACTGTACGACCCTTAGTGGGCCCTACACATCTAGAAAAATAAAAAAGTGATCAGCAAAATTCTAATATAAAAAAATTTAAACCTAATTATCTCTTGAAGCAAAACAGATAACCCAAACATAAGAGAGTATTTTCATTCAGATCATAAATGGAGTTTTGAAACGTACATGGGATTTGAGGTTGAACTCGCAGCCATCTTTAGGCGATTATAAAGTCATCAATAACTACTGCATCGTTATACACAAACTCCGAAACGGGTACGTAAAATATTTGTATATCCCAAATAAAAGATCATGTTCAAACCGAACGTTACGGCGGGATTTGATTTTTATTGTATTTAATAGTAAAATATATAAAAGTTCCTTTAACGTGAAATATTTCTGAAACGGACCGAAAATTTAGTAATTTCATTTATGAATGTTTGCTTTATGCTTTAAAGTTCTCGATATTTACTCTAAACAAAATTTTGCAATTTTTAATACAAAATCGGGAACTTTTTACATAAACAAGTGTTATTGTTTGATGCGAGACATCTACACGGTGAAACAGCAAGAAAAAGAGCTGCGGGTAATCCGTCTTCCAATTTTAGTACCCAACACGTACAAAGATTATACAATTAACAATTCATATAAATTTGTTTGTGAATGGTTTTAGAAAATCGATTTGCCGCGGAAGGTTTTTGCCCCAAAATGACCGGAGAAACAGGTTTACGTTATCAGAACACTACTGGGTACCACGTAATGATAAGCGTTTATTTTGGTTATAACCCTAATATGCATATTCCTTTTCAACCTTACATTATATCTGCCAGGTTTAGCAATTCCTTAAATTTTTGTTACAGATTTTGATTGTCTGGGTGTACATAGCTCTAATATATTTCAAGGCAAATTATACCATAGAACTTATAAAGCTGTTATAGCAGAATCATCTAGTTGGTATGACTTGTATAAAATGGATAGATTTCCGACATTTAAAATCTGCAACTCTTCTTTGAAAATGCGGTTTTGCAGTAGATAATAGCTAAAATTCGAAAAAAAATTAAAATCCTTCTTTCTGTCACTGATAATGTGTATAGTAGGGTACTAAATCTAATAACCGACTAAAGGAAGGCGAGACATAACAAAACGTCAAAAGAAATACAGAAAAAAAAAAGAAATTAAAAATAACATAAAAAATAAAGAAATATCTAGCGAAAAAATTAACAGAAATAATAAAGAAAAATAAGTAAAACACATAAGTAAAAAAACAACCTGAAGCGACAAATAAAAAACACAAGTTAAAAAGTTTCAAAAATAACAACACTTCGAACGATAACTGAAATAAATAGCAACAACAACAGTACACAAATTTACTTAGATGATAATATGTATCTGTGAGCTAACAAAAATAAAATTACAGTAAGAACTACAAAACTACACACAACTACTTGTTCACTTTACACCCTTTAGCCAATCAAAAAAGTGGAGAGTTTACTTGGTGTCCGTGTGCGAGAGACTTGAAGTTGTTCTCTTGTGTGTGTGAGAATAAAAATAAAATAAAGAAACTCCACCTTTACCACTGTCATGTGTTTTATGGCCTTTTAAAGCGCATGTCCATCATTTTACACACACAAACCGATACATTTTTGGCATTTGTGATGGATGGCCATTGTCAAAAAGCCACTCCTCTCTATTATTTTGTAGTGTATTGTTGTTATTGTGTTACCAAGTTATTTTGAGGGCTGTTGCTTATATTGCTGCTGCAGCTGAATTTTTGTTGTTTACACAATTCAGTACAATCGGTACAATTGCTTAGATTGGTAGTATAGTGTGTAGTTGGTTGCTTACCAAAGTAAATACAAAAATTTAAAGGAAAATCGTGAAATGAAATTTTACGAAATTATTGTTAAAAACTAAAGTGCGAACAAATTTACGTAAATTTGTAGAAAATTAAAAAAGAAATACTATTTAATTTAGTTAAAAAAAATTACAAACAGCAACAAAATTTTTGAAAAGTTATCAAAATAATATTACATACTTACACATACATATGTATGAAAATTATACCTATTAATTTCTATTGCATATTTTCCATTCTATGAAGTAATAAGTGTGTAAAAAATGCAGTAAAGAAATAAAACAACAACAACAAAATTTGAATTAAAACAACAAACGTCCACCATAATTCTTTTTGTTTTTGTGAACCGGTTTCATTGAAAACCCCTCCAGTTATACATCCATAAATAAACAACAATACACACACATACAAAATAACGTGCAATTGGCCAGAAAGACTAAAGAAAAACAACAAGAAATTGCAACGACAACACCAGCAACAACAACAAAAGCGAAACAAGTGTGTAACGGAATTGTGTGAGTGAAGCAGAAAAACACAAGCAAGCAAGTGATCTACTGGAGTTGTAATTTGTAGTTTTGTAGCAGACTTTAAAACTCTACAATCCCGTCATTCAGACTCTACTCAAAAATACATTGTACACTGGATGCACACAGATACACACATACTTGTGCATTAAAGTTGTTTTCATCGAACAGCAGCAGCAACCTTCATACGCACTGTTGTGTTGAGAATTTGACAACGGTTGTTGTGTTGTTGTTTTTGGTGGTTTCTTGTCTTTATTGTTTTGGCGCTTATACTTGTCATCGTCGCCATGGGTGCCATTGTGGGCTCAACCATTTCAAATTGTCGCGCTTGAGTAAACAGCAATAAACGCCATTCTCATATGTCGCGTCGCGTTGTATTTGTTGTATTACTGTTCCCGTTTGATCTCCATTTACAGTGAATGTATAAAACTAAAAAAAAATTAAGAATATTCGTTTAACAAAGATAATTATTAGTTATTTACAATAATAGTTTAACTATTACAAAAATTTACAATAATAATTACAACAAATATTAAATTAAAGTGTTAAATTAATACAAATAAATAAATATTGCATGTGTTTTCAAAATAATATAAATTTAATTAAATTTACTTAAACATAATAAATAAAAGTGTCAAAATTAAAGAAATAAATAAAAGAAGTGAATTGTAACTTTGCTCCGATATCAAAATCATTGGATTATTTCGCAAATGTTTAACTACCCTAAACACTGTAAGTTAATTAATATTTTGTATAATTCCGACGCATTACAAATTTTTATTTCTTTCCTTATTAATTCACTAACCTGTAAAATGAAATTTGGACTTATATTTATTGATTTTTCTAAATTTTTAAATCCCGTCTTATTTCTGATGAATACAATGTTTTCCAGTATTTCCAGTGTTAAATACAAAAAAATTCAATGTATTTATCGACTAGTACATACCTACTATTTTTTATAATTTTCTCTTATGGCTTAAATGTAGACTTGTAAAATCCCAGTTTATTTCTTAAGCTGAATTTCCCCGTATTCTTTCCCGGAGTATATCAGGATTTTCGGGATAAGAATTGACACCATTAGTATTCTTGCTTCCGAACTTCACATCGATTTTCAGCGAAGGAACTTAGGGTCGAATAATAACCGATTTTCAAAGAAAGTTTATTTCTGAAGCTGAATTTCCCCGTATTCTTTCCGCGGGGAATATCAGGATTTTCGGGATAAGAATTGACACCATTAGTATTCTTGCTTCCGAACTTCGCATCGATTTTCAGCGAATGAACTTAGGGTCGAATAATAGGGTCAAAGAACTATGTTAAATTGTATATACGATGGGGGTTAAGCTACATACATGTGAAATAATAAATAAATAATAATAGTAAATATAATAAATAATGTTCTATAAGTAAAATTTCATTGAAATTGAAACGTGTAGTTTAAACATATAGTTTTCTCATAAAAATATATATAATCCGAGTTAACATCAGATATTAAGAAGATCACGCCATATGTACGTCCTCTTCACACGGGAGGGATAGAGATCTGAAATTTTTCATAAATATTTTTTTTTTGATAAGGTTTGTTTCGTATTGCAAATGGGCTGTATCACTCCATAATATCAGCTAGCCCCCATACATGTGGCACCCTCGAACACAGTTTAAAAAGTTATAAATATGTTGATTAGCAGAGCTGTAAATGAATAATTTTTTTTATTTAATTCGCGAATCATTCATGCAATGAATTGAATTGATTTTGAATAATTTCAAATGAATTAGAACAAGTAAGAGTATTATATTCGGATATGCCGAATCTTATATACCCACCATCAAATCGTATGCCGTAAAAAGAATGCTCCTCTGTAAGCATCAGGGAGATCAGGCATATGTCAATCTTCGATCTTCGAATTAACAAAATATTAATTTTTAAAAACAAAATATTTTTTTCCAATTTTTTAACTATGAACATGTCTGGGAGGTTGGGTCAATTATGGACTGTTTGTCGTAAAATTTGGTAGAAAGATTTCGTGTCGTATAACACTTATTCGTTTCGAATTTAATTGCAGTTCTCGTATTTTTAATTCAGTCGTAAGCGTAAAAGTAATTATCTGAATCGATACCCATACAATTTTGTACATAGATTTTGTTCGCAATTGTTAGCTATAGACCAATCCTCATAAAATTCGGAATGAAGAATTATAATAAAAACTTTTTATGGCGAGTACAACGATGAAGTACTCGTAATTTTCTCATGGTGGCTTTATATATGAGGAGAAGGTTCAACTGTGGAGCGATCCTCATAAAATTTTGATTTCCATTAATACAAAACTTGTTTATGTAAAAATTTATCGGTTTTTAATTAGAGTAGTTTTCTGTAGGGGACCTTATATGGGGGGTAGGGTGAGTAACCGACCGACCCATTCTGCATGAAAATATGTACCTATAAAAGCTGCTTATGTCGAATTTCCTCCCTATAATCTTATTTTTAAGCCAGTAATGAGCGTTAAAATCATTTTTTGAAGGGCACCTTAAGTGGGGGTAGGATCAATTATGGAGCAATTCTCCAAAAAATTTATAAAAACATTTTAGCTTGTATGCAACCTATTTTTTTGTTAAATTTCATCGCCGTACTCATATTTTTAAGGGGACCTTAATAGAGGGTCGCTTTACTCGTATTTTTAAGTCAGTATTGAGTGTTTAAATCATTTTTTGATAGCGACATTATGTGGGGGTAGGTTCAATTATGGACCGATCCACAAATATGCAAAAAATTTATTTTAATTTGTTAATATGTATATGTTTTCAATATTTTTTCGAAAGTTTGAAGAAATCTGAACTATTTGGAATAATTTTTTCTATAAGTAATAGGTAATAAGTTACATATGTGCATATGTAAGTAGATACGAAGAAACACAAACATTTTAAATTTTGGCCCTGCGCTTCATCCCTCTTCCAAAACACCCGAAACATGTAGAATATTATATAAAAAAGTTTTATAAAATCGATTAGAACACTACTGGCTATCACGTAGTGATAGGGCCTAATTTTAGTTATTCTTATTATTACAATTGTGAAAATGTAAGGTATTTTTCCGAAGAGGGCCTTGTCTGGGGCTAGGGTTATTACAAAAACCTTTATACTCATATTAATTTTTGGATCTGTAGATTTGTGTTGAAATATTAGTACATGAATATACTTTTTTAATCGATATTCGGGTGTCCGGTGTATGGGTTCAAAATTTGTTGAATTGTCTTATTATTTTTTTTATAAATATTTCTTTTGTTTCTAATAACTTACATTATTCTGTCGATTTTTTAGTTTTTTTTATTATTAAATTTATCTTTTGTTTTCAAATTTTGGCAAGGTATTTTCTTAAATATAAATGCCGTTTTTAGGTAAGCTTGGACCCTAGAGTAAAACAGTATTCGGAGCCCTCTTAAAATTTTACATGGAACTTCTTCAACAATGTTGATAACCAATTAAATATGTATGTATAAGTTTGTCATTCCTTGCGTAACACTGAGAAATATTTATTTCATACCCAACAGAGTAGATATATTCTTGGTCCTTATAAAATTCTAAGTCGATTTAACTATGTCCATCCGTCTGTCGTTGTAAAACAAGCTCACGTTAAAACAAATCAATGGAATTCACCCAAAATATTCATTATTATCCTAGGTATTTTGGTATTGAAAATCACCAAAATCGGTTCACATTATAAAAAGTTATGAATAAAAATTTAAAAAAAACTCTGATAAACGTAAGATTTTTTACACATTCTTATGTATTATATGAAAATCACCACACATTTGTTTCTATTCGAAAACTTTATCACTGTCGTAAATTGTGGAATTTCTTATACCTCCTATACCTATATTCCCGAAAATTTATTTATTATTAATAACTTCCATTAGAATGACGATATCTTAACAAAATTTTATAAATTAAAGTTTTATGTCAATAGAATTCATATAATAAATGGGTCCATAATTGGTCATAGTTCCCATATAGGTCCCCTACCGAAAATCGCATAAACGCACATAACTCACCATTAAACAATGATATCCATGGACAATTTCGTACAATTATTTGTATACAGAAATGTGTTTGCAGATTTTTTTCACGATTGGTCCATATTTGGTCATAGCTCTCATACAAGGTTGTTGTATTTTTTATACCCTCCATCACCATCAGGGTATATATAACTTTGTCATACCGTGTATAACACCAAGAAATATTCATCTGAGACCCAACAAAGTATATATATTCTTGGTCCTTATGAAATTCTGAGTCGATCTAGCTATGTCCGTATAAAACATTCTCACGTTAACACGAAGCAACAAAAATTAACGAAATTCGCACAAAATATTTATTATTGTCCTAGGCAGTTTGTTATTGAAAATGAGCAAAATCGATTTACATCGGGAAAAGTTATGAATCAAAATTTAAAACGTCTCCGAAAAAATAAGCATTTTTTACACATTCTGATGTAATTTTCACGAAAACTATACAATATAATTGCATGAAAATCATCATACATTCGTTTCTACACGAGAGCTTCACTACTGTTGAAAATTGGCGGAATCGGTCCACAATTTTATATACCTAAAGTACAAAAGTATATATTCCAGGAAAATGAGTTTATTGTTAATAATTTCCGTCAGAATGTTGATAGCTTCACAAAAGTTAAAATCTTATGTGAATAGAATTCATTCAGAGAAAAAAATTTCAGGATCGGTCCATTATTGGTCATAGTTTCCATACAAGGTCTCCTCCCGAAAATCACTTAAACGCAAATAACTCATTACTAAATTAAAATATCCATATAAAATTTGAATTTTCGTTGAATTTTTTTCCAATCGGTCCATAATTGGTCATAGCTCCCATACAAGGCCCCCACCCGAAAATCACTTAAACGCACATAATTCGTTACTAAATTAAGATATGCATGTAAAATTTGGTACAAGTATTGATCTTATATACAAAGTACAAGTATTGCCGTTGTACACAAAAATGTTACTGTAAAATTTTTTCCGATAGGTCCTTAATTGGTCATAGCTCCCATACAAGGTGCCCTCCCGAAAATTACTTAAACGCACATAACTCATTACTAAATTCAGATATCCATATAAAATTTAGTACAAGTATTGATCTTATATACAAAATTTTTTATTCTGCATACAAATTTTTTACGTTAACGAAAGTTTCGTTTTATAAAATGAGGGGGTAACTATTTTACTATTTACGATATGAGAAAACTTATTTCTACAAATATTTGATCAATTAAAACAGTATTAATATAAAAGTAGCTGGTGGAGGGTATTTAAGATTCGGCTCGGCCGATTTTTAGTTAGATAATTAGTTTAGTACAAACAAATTGTATACAACAATATATGTGTCAGTGCATCCGAAAATTACTGTGATTTCCACTAACGTCTAACCACCTGTTTAGCTCTAATTCGTCTTTCGCCACGGAGGTACTCTTTGTAAACGAGGGTAAAGATAATCGTCACTTTAGTGTCCCCTTTGAAAGCGGGAGACTGGACACTTAAAAAACAAATTTAAGCTTTTGTCATTGTAATCTATGGGGTGACGATTGACTTCCTCGTAGGACAAGCACATGTTAATATAGCTAGTCACCTGGAGAGCCGGTGGCTAGGGATAACACTAAGGGGTGGGTTAAATAGGTATTTCGGGACTGTCCGACCGAACGATATGTAATTATGCACTTTTACAAAGTTTAAGTTCAAATGAGAAGAATATTAACACCTATTTTATATATGCAGTTTTTTTTTAATCCGGCCCTCAGTTTGAAAGTTATTTACAAAATAGTAGAATATCTTAAAGATTAAATGCTATTTTACTCAAAACGAAGTATTTTCTTGTAAAAAATTAGCGATATGTTAAAACTTCAGTAAAATCTGATTTTGTGAAAAATACTATTCATTTCTTACAAAAAATACGTTTTAAAAAGGTTAAAAATTATTTATTTGTCGATTACTATACAATTACAAATTATATTCTATCCCAATTTACCGAGCAGAATGACGATGACCATATGCCCGTTGTAGTGTAGCAGGCCAGAATCTCTGGTGGGAATCGAACCCACAACCTCCAGACTGACAGTACACTAACAACTAGCCTACCGGGACACCCTGACCCGCTTTATATTTTTTGAGATTTGAGATTTATAAAACTATTAACGATAGCCCTATTTTAAGATCTAATGACATCTTGTACAACTAATTATGGTTTGAAATTAAGTTTACTTTCATTACCTTCTGAAACCTGAAATCTCTTGTTATTCAAATTCCATTTATTCACTCTTACTTATTCTTATATGTATTTGTATATTTTCTTTTAATTTCAGATTAATAAAAACTCAAATAAATTGACAACATTTCTACGATGTCCTAGTTACTAGTGAAAAGTTTTTAACGAAAAATAAGTATGTGAATATTTATGTCTGCAAAAAACATAAGTAATTTCTCTTATTTAGCTTAAAGTCATATGGATGTGTGTGCCTAATAAAAGTCTTTGTAGAAAGAAGTTTCAGAATTTTACAAACAAGTAGTGACACAATTTTTTAAAAAATGCAAGAAGTCTGTACAACATTAGAAAGCCAAATGGGCGCGCAAATCAAATCAGAATCACCGCTAAATGCACTGCAAGTGCAAACCGGTCAAACTGTTGTGCCTGGAGTGTCAGCCACGCCACAGCAGGTGCAACAGGCCACAGCCAATGTAACGGCTGCCACAGCCACGGCAATGCTCATAAATAAAATGGGACCAAACTGTGATAAACGAGTTAATGCCAACGAAGCACCATACTGGATGACAGCCAGCGAGGGGGGCTTCATCAATTCACAGCCATCAATGGCAGAATTTCTCAATCATTTAAGTCCCGAAAGTCCGAAAATGATGGGTGGTGGTTTGGTAGCTGGTGGTGGTGCCGGAGGTGGTGTAACGCCAGTAGTCGGCGGATATCCGGTTGGTGTTGGTGGACCACCGCAGACACCAGATGGCATGGATTCGGTGCCAGAATATCCATGGATGAAGGAAAAGAAAACATCACGTAAAAATAATAATAACAGTAATCAAGGTAAGTGTTCAAGTGTTCAAGTGTTCAATTATTACAATTATTTTTATCTTTGTTGTTACAAATGTATTTTGTATTTTGTATTTGAAAAGATGCTCAAACAGGCAGTTGAGTTGAAATCGAATCAAACTACAAATAAATGCAAAAACATCATTAATCAAAGAAATCAGTGCAATTTGCCCTTAAAACACAACAAATGAAAGACACTGATTGGGATGGACGGAAAGACAGACAGATAGAAAGACAGACAAAGAGGTAGAACTGAGTCTAAATCTACCAAATGTAGCTGATAATCAGACGGCGCCGGATCTTTTACTGTAACACATTTATTTTTGTAATTTCAAACTCAATTTGATTGAATGTATGCGACTGCATCCGCATGAGAATAATCTTTTTTCTTTTAAAGTAAAATCAAGAATTCTGTTGTTAATCAAATCAGTTCATAAGTGTTGGTGTACTCTCCAAAATTCGGTATCTTTTGATGGACCGTGAAAGACATTCATCAAAAAGTCCAAAAATATCAACAACCTTTATACGTTTTTGTGTGTGTGTGTGTATGAGTGAGCTAGTTCGCTGGAGTATGTGTGTGAGGCGGTTTAGATCTGTTATTTGTGATCATTTGTAATAATTTTCACGAGGAGAGACCCATCAACAGTCATCAAAGATGGACATCATACATACGTTTTTACACTTGTATACATTGTACAGTGGGACAAATGAATTACTTTAGTAAACCTGTTTTATAATATTATAAGGTTCAAAGGTACAAACTTAAAATATGTATTTCAGATTGCGCGAAATTTCCTGGGTTCAAAATCATGAAGATTATAAAAATTATTACATAAGTATGTATGTGTATATGTTGTCAGATGATATATATATTCGATGATATAAATGTCAGATGATATACTCGATTAATATTTAAAAGATTTAAAATCGCGGTTCTAATACCACTGTGCATATCGTTTTAACATGATATCATTTTATATGCACAATATTTGATACCTTTTGTGTGTTTCATATCGCTCATTTACTACAAGAATGTCATAACACAAAATTCGGATTTTTTTTTTTGATTTTAGTATAAAGAAGCGTTGTTCCAAATTATTTCGAGAAGTTTTGTGAATTTTTAAAAATTTCATTTAGTAAATTTGGATTTTTAAAAATGTTTAGTATTTGCGGTGTGAGATAGATTTTTTTTTGTAAAAATCGAAACAACTAAAATGTTAAAAAACATTTAAAGCCGTTTTCCTAGAAGCGATATTTTTTAAGTTGTGCAAATCTTGTAGTAAATGAGCGATATGTAATCGTATGAACAAGATCATTCAAAATAAAAAATCATCAGTTTGATGGAAGCATGTCGAAGTCAATTTGTTGGTTAAACCCTCCAAATACTTATATGTAGACGAAAATACAATCAATTTTATATTTGGCTTAAAGGCAAAATTGTACTACAAGAAATGTTTATGATAAATTTGTTATCAAGGTTGTCTAGTTGGTGTTATTCTATTTTATTTTTGTTTTAAGAAAAACCTTAAATTGACCCTGTTTTTCTCTATACGTGCAACATTAATTCATCAATGAAATTTTTGTTTAACAAAATGAAGTCTTTTTAGGCTCTAAATGCAAAACGGACAGACATACATACATATGAACAGAAAGGACCCGACAGGAAAATAAAACAGAATACACAATAAGAAACGGAGAAGAACAATAGTAAAGCAAATGTTATGTTAAAGTGCAACCTGTTATTTAGATTCATTTGTCAAAATATGTATTTCTATAATTTCAACTCAAATCCCCCTTTTTCCTATCACAAGCAAACCAACTGACTGACAGGCAGTTAGTTACTTACTATATGTATATATATATACTATGGTCATACAAACAATCGGACAGACATTTATTTATATGCAACAGAATTTAAACTATTTGTCTTGCAATGGCTTGAAAGTATAAAAATTGCTTAAAGCCAGTGTTTCCTTTTCTTTACATAAGTTGCACAGCTATGTATGTATTCAATGACAGCCAGTAGTTTGTATCATTTATTTCATTTTTATATCCTACGGTTACAATTTCTGTCTGTATTTTTCCTTTATTTTTTATATGATTTTTTTTTTGGTTAAAACAAAAAACCTTAAGAGAAAGATAAAAAGCAACACATGTATTTTTTCATTTGGTCTAAACCGGAATTTCTGTTATTTTTATTTCATTTTGCAAATTTTTAGGCCAGTTTATTTCATGCTTTAATTTTTTCCTTATGTTTTTCGTACACCTTTTCATGTTTGTCTCTCATTCGGTATATTTGTCTGTATTTTCCGTATTCAACTAAAGGTGAAATCAATTAATCACTATTTGTGGTGCCATCCCCTTTCGTTCGTTTGTATTTTTACTTTTGTATTTGACTGTATTTGACCACACTGACATTCTAGTGGTCTAAATGAATTTTCATACACACATGTTGAATGTAACTGGTCGTATAGGTGTGTGAGTATTAGCGTTAGCCCAAAGCTTGTGAATTTTCAGCTGTTTCGCAAATAAAATACTTGTTTGAAATTAAAAACAATTTCATTAAACATTTTTAAACATTAGAAACCAACGTTGAAATAAAAAAAGATGAGAATTACAAAATTAAAAAAAGTGTTACCTAAGAAATTTTTATTTTCGACTTTTAAAAGTCAGATTTCTTAAATAATGTTTAAAATAATTATTGGATTCACTATTTATATATATTGGTTATTCAAAATGTCATTCCCTTAGTCCTGTGTTCTGGGAATTATCGTGTCGATAATAAACAATCCTACGATTAAGTTAATTTGGTTGTCGGCTTAAGTATAGCTCCCTAGGGTCCAACCATAGGCCCTGTTGTGGTTCCTGTTTTGTTTGTTACCTTTAAGCCATTTCGTTGCCTGTATTAATGCAAATTGCCTTCTGATAGATACATAAGTATTGTCAATAAGGGTTCGATGATCAAACTCTTTTTATATTGGGACGAATGCCAAAGTGCTTTACGTGAGTACCTGCCGTGTTGGCCTATCCCACGGTGGTATTTTTTAACCACTGGGTAGCCTTGAGAGCGGTCTACTATCGCCCCTTCAATCTTCAATGAAGAAGTCAGGTGGCTATTTTTGTACATGGCTAAAGCCGGTCCATGTACGAGCACTTTGCTGAAGTACTCGAGCTATCTAATTTCTTGCCATAGTAGCCCCGTTGGGGAAGGACAGGTGTCATGAACAAGCTCAATCTAACCCCTACAAAGGAAAAGGAAATCACTAGTTAGAGTCAATAGAAGGGACGTACCCAACATCAGGTGAAAACACCCTAATGATGTTATGAGGAATGCTCATGTCCCTACAAAACATTCACATAATCTAAAGACTCACCCCAGTGCATTCCTGGACCTCTTAAAGTCGCCCAACCACACTACTGAGATGGTTTCTGTTGTTTTGGCAACAGCAGCTAGAGACGTATTTGGTAGCCCGAAATACCCAAGATAATAAATCAGAATCCCTCTTCATGAACCGATCTGCAACAAAGGATGTAAGAATTTCCAAAGTCAACTGAACCCGACAAATAGTCGCGTAGCATAAATGGCATCAGCACCCAGAAACTTCCCCGAAGCGTAAAAAGGCATACTAAATCTGTACTAGCCTCAATAAATAGACAATTCCCCAGCATATACCGGCTCCCTACTACACGACCGGTAAGAAATACCGATCGGGTTCAGGAATCCAGCATATGCTGCTTTGTACACAGACCTGTGTCATTTTAATAGAGAATTAACCAACGCATTATATATAGGGTATATCAGCACTTAAACCAACAATCTCTCCCCGCGAATTTGTGTTCAAACTACAGCCACTACGTAGATCCCAAAGGAACCTCAACCAACTGACCAGCCAGGACAAGTCCTGTGGGCAACTGGCCACCCGTAGTACCAGATTATGTGGTGCTCTGGATAGAACTCTTTTCAATTTATGCAAGGACTAGGCCAGGCAGTAAATTCTAAACACCAATTTATAGTCCCGGCCGACTAGAGGTATTGGTAGCACCTATCTTCCCCGGATTACAATACACTAAGATGCGGTCTATCATCAAAGAAACATGCCGGGGGGGATATCTGTTGTTTCCTCTTGTACATCGTTGCAGCTTCTACAAAAATTGTTGTTAGGAATTTGTAACCGCTGTGAGAAGTCTAGCCAGATTTAACGGAAAAATTAAAGCATTTGGCATCCTTTTCTAGTACATTGGCTCTTTGTCAAGTAACTCATGAGATACTAAACTAAATGTCTCGCTATCTCTTCAAAATACGCCCGGATTTATTGAGCAATTCTCGATGCGGTGTACATGTTCTCTGATGACCGTTTTACTATTAGTAATTATAAGATATTTCAGATGAATATCCTATGCTACTGAATTTGTTCTAAGGCCATTTTGATGGCCATACTCGTCATGATCAGTTGTGAAATGTATACAAACTCACGAATTCCATACTCACAGATAGTGTTTATAAAAAACCGACTTTTGGAAAAACCGGTTTTTCGGTTAACCGAAAATTGACCATTTCTAGAAAACCGGTTTGTCGGTTAACCGAGTATAAAAAAACCGGTTAAACCGGTTAACCGAAATGTTTGGAAATCTTTAAAATATTATAATATTTAGTTGAAAAAGTCATTATTATGAATTACTTAATAAGATATTTGCACTTTTTAGTATAGATATGCACATTAATATATCATAAGAAAACAAACTTATATAGATCTGAAGATATTATTGATTCGTTAGGTATATGGAAGTTGCCATAGGAGGGATAAATTGACCTTTGAATATATAATCCATCTATATCAATAGCAAAAATTATGTCCAGAACTATCAAGGCTCGCGACGATTTATCGGGAACGGAAGTAGACGACGACTGTCTCGACATAGACAGTGACCTCCCTTCGCTCGCTACGCCTGTGGTTGTTCAAATTACTGTGAATGACTCTTAGGAATATTGACAG